TAGGTGGTTCTGACTCGTGTGCAGGATTTGATTTGATATGATTGAGATTGGTTATGAGCTATATACTCAGCCGTGCAGATTAAGTTAGAGGGATTTGGCTAATGCGATATTTGACATTGAGATATTTTGTTTGGATTACTTATGGCATTGCATTGAGATATTTTGGCATGGTATACTTCTATGGATTTTTATCTTGAGTATGATTTCAGTCACAGCTTATTATTATTATTATTATTTTCTGGGAAATTATACAGGTTTTACGGCGAGGGGTTAGAACTTTTGAGAAATGAAATGATTTTGAAAAGCTTGGTTTTTGCCCACTCACACTTTCTGTTTTGCGCCTCTCCAGGTTTTAGGTAGAAGTGCTTTGGTGGATTACGAGGATTTCAACAGTGGTTCTAACAGAGCATCATAAATGTAGGATCACCTTTGAGTGTTGTATAATTAGTACTTATCCTGCTTGACTGCATTTAGACTATTTATGCTCTCGTTGTGTATTTCACACTTAATCTTGCACTTGCACTTTATCTTAGCTAGTTATGCTAGTAGTTTGGTTTTATTCCTTCGAAATTTCTTTTTATCTTTATTGCTTCCGCACTGTGCACATGGCTACGTCACCCTCACGTGACGGCCAGCATGCCTCGATCTAGGTTGGGGTGTGTCACTATTGGTTGAGTTGTTGTCATAGTTGATGAAGAAGATTAGTGTAGCATGTAATATACGGCTACATGTTCGAAGTTCGGAAAGTTATCTTATCCCCTCCATCAATCATCACCAACCATTGTCTCATCTACGTGGCCAAATCTTCTTTTTACAAATCCCAAGTGAAAAAAAAACAAAAAAAATATGAAAATGCATGGAAACGGAAATAGAGAATATTTACTATTACTAGCTATTATTATAGGGAAAGAGATCATCTTCGAATTTCTTCCTCCAAAGTCTTCGGATCAAGTGATCTGGACCCTTGAAATTTGATCCAATGACCCTTGAAATTCAAGCCCCAGAAAGTTATAATAATTTTTTACTGTTAGATTAAATTTCAAGAACTCGAATTACTTGGTCCGCGGGCATTGGAGGAAGAGATCCGAAGAGGATCTCTTTCCTTATTATAGGCCACTGTTGTATGGAGATCGCAAACTAATTTGGGTAAAAGTCAAAAAAAGGCAACTAAAAAATAAGACAAATTCACTTGAGTTTCTTCTGCTACTCTCTACTTGTTTGTACCTGTACTACAAAACAATTAAAGAGACAGAGAAGGCAAAATATGAAAGGTTTGTAGGAGGCAAAGATTGTAATTTTGCAAAATATATGTGGAGATACACTTGCCATTTGTAAATTTCATTAATTGAGCACTTATTACTATAAATTTGAAAATAAAAGAACATTTTTTAGATCATACTTCTTCTTTTCTATGCTTTTCTCCGATCATTGACAACAGTTTTTTAAAAAATCACTTTTTTTGTTCTAAATTTTTTATTAAGTTATTGCTTTTAAAAGCATCAGAATTCCAAACCGACCTAAAAATAATTTGTTTTTATGTTTACCTAATTTTCTGGGTAATTTGGAAGTATCTTATTGGTCAAGTTGTTATCATAGTTGATGATGATTAGTGTAGCATGTAATATCCGGCCACGTGTTCGAAGTTCAGAAAGTTATCTTATCCTCTCCATCAATCATCACCAACCATTGTCCCATATGCGTGGCCAAATCTTCTTTTTACAAATCCCAAGTGAAAAAAAAAAAACAAAAACAAATGAAAATGCATGGAATCGGAAATAGAGAATATTTACTATTACTAGCTATTATTATAGGGAAAGAGATCATCTTCGAATTTCTTCCTCCAAAGTCTGTGTATCAAGTGATCTGTACCCTTGAAATTTGATCCAACGACCCTTGAAATCCAAGCCCCTGAAAGGTATAATAATTTTTTACTGTTGGTTGGTTAAATTTCAAGAACTTGAATTACTTGGTCCATGGGCTTTGGAGGAAGAGATCCGGAGAGGATCTCTTTCCTTATTATAGGCCACTATTGTACAGAGATCATAAACTGATTTGGGTAAAAGTCAAAAAAAGGCAACTAAAAAATAAGACAAATTCACTTGAGTTTTCTTTGCTACTCTCTACTTGTTTGTACGTGTACTACAAAACAGTTAAAGAGACAGAGAAGGCAAAATATGAAAGGTTTGTAGAGAGAAGTGATCAGAGGCTTTTAATTTAACTCATGATTCATCTGTACTTTCAAAGGGAAGGAATATTTTTTGTTCGAGATTTCGTAGTCCAATGAGCAGTCTATTCATGTCGATATTGTTTCAATTCAATCACATTTATGATTTGACAAATGTTAGATTTTACTGCATAGGTATTTAGAAGCTTAATTGTTTAATATAAGTTGTTGAGGAGAACACGATCTGATAGGAGAATATTTTTGCTAACCACTCTCAAGTTGGTGATGCTCACCACGTTCTTATTTATTACCGTTATATAAATTTAAATTTTGAAATTTGTGTAGTGTATAGTCACAAATTTTAAAATTTAAACTTATCCGACGGTAATAAGTAGGGTGTTGAATATTACCACCACTTGAGAGTGATGAGCAAAAAAGCACCCATCTGATACCATGTCAAGATTTTAGAGTCTCCTTAATTACGCTAATATTGTCTCCTTAATTACGCTGATATTGTCTCAACCTAACTACTTATGCAGTTTAACATCTGATGAATTGTATCATGAAAAACCTTTGTGTAATTAAAAGTGAACCATTCAATTTATATCTATAATTTATTATGTCAAGCTTCCAACATGGGATTAAATTGTTCAACATTTTAATTTTTACTGCATTTGTTTTGATCATTAATTTATGATATTTTGGAAATTTGTTGCATGGTAGTAGAGTGAACAAGAAAATAAAAAGACAAATAGGTGGGTGTTAAGAAGATTCTGATACTGTTATAAGTTTACACGAGAAAACAAGAATTTATTTTCAACTGTTAATATTTCTTGATATCTCAAGCATCTACAGCCTTTTAACTGTTAATAAAGTTCCTAGCTACTTCAAGGATCGATTAGCAATGTTGATATTTGTTTAGTTATTAAATAAAAAAGTTTGGGGGCTTATAGAGGTAGATTGTCAAAAGAGAGGCATAGAGAGGATTAAACTTTTGAAAGTTATAGAGATTTTACTTAAAATTAAAAGTGTGAAACGTGCGGATAGAAATGTGCAGACTGATTATAGATTCAAATATATGATGCAGTGTGACAAAGAGAGTGTATCAAACGATAACCTCATTGCATAAGCAACTAGCCTCTTAGCCCTTTGTTTATGAGGGAAAAAAAGGTTGAAAATTTTGGCATAAAAAGACCAGGTATCCCAACGAAATCGTAAAATGGTTTCGAGTCACTGTTCTCTTTGAAATAGCGGGTCATGGGCCTAAATAGACACCGAAGCTCATTTGCACAACTTATATTTTGCTATCGTATTTGCGCATCAATTTGATCTTTGATCCTTTATTTCATCTAATCAACCTCATTATCAATTACAATGTTATAAAAGCGAGTGAACTGGCATTCCCAACGCCCACGGAAGAACCTAGGGCATGCTTGCCACACCAGTGTGGATCACAAAAATACAAGGTACAATTTGCCTCTCTAGTTAACCAAAAAAAAAAACGAAAAAAAAAGAAGAAGAAGAAACCGAGAAAAACCCTTAATTTGTAGGATAATTATTTTTCTAGATGGGCCTTGTTAGTTGAGATTCTTCTCAGTTCTGATAAGAGCTTTTGATTAGCTGGTTGTGGTGGATCCTGGGCGACCAAAAGAAAATGAGTTTGACTATGGGCCTAGTTTTCCATTAATGGGCTTAAGATTATAGGGCTTTTGTGATAGGTTATGACTGGTTTGATAATAATTTCGTATTTTTTTTTTTGTTATTTTTTTTATCGTTAGATATAAAGAAGTTATATGCACTAAAAGAGGGATGAATAAGTTTGACAAAAAGGAAAAAAAAAAAAGGAGGGATGAAGAAGTGTGGTAGGAGAGAGGGAGAGAAATAAGAAAGAATAAACGGAAACAAAATTTAAAAGTGAAAATAACTTAAAATAGTTTTTGGAATTTTATGTTCTTTTCTTGTAGATTAAATCTGCATTTCTCCTACCATTCTTTATCCACTCTTTTCACCCCTCATTTTTCCTATGTATTCAGTTTTATCATCATTAACTTAAAAAGTAAAAATTAAAAACAAAAAATGAAATGATTATCAAACAGGTCCTTAGTGTTAAAACAATATTCAAATTAAGGTTAATGAGTCATTCCTCTTTAAGAACAAAACTTAGTTTAACATATATGCATATTGTTCTCCTTTCATTATTCTTGTAAGTCACTTTAGTATATATGTCGGTCCGACGATCTCTAATATGCAACCAAGGAAGAAAGAATACACTTTATTAAGTTGATTTTGTGTAAAAAGGAGGGGTTATTTTTAATCACTTTTATGTAAATTATGTTAGCATTTAATATCCCCCAATCTCCATATGTTGTCGCTAAAATGTGAGCTTTTGCATAAATAGATAGCACACAATGCATAACATTTTACTATTTTCTAAAATTGCGGTCCTACACTAAACTTATCATGCACTATGTTTTCATGTCCTTGTTGCTTCACCTTGTTGGCCATATCCTAGCTACATGATATAGCTTCTAATCATGGTGTACATGATGTATACAATAGTTTAACATCATACACCAATGTACATGTTATATTGATACTTGAGCAGCTAGAAAGATTCAGATTCTCAAAAATACAACCACGCAAATCCAACTGTATACCACGCTGATGCATTCCATATACCCATGCATTACAAAATTTTTGTATAACATGACATATTATGTGTTGGATTCACAATGTAGACCATAAATTCAAAGACAACAATCTATTGTAACAATGATATGTATTTATATTGTAGATGTTGACCCTTCCAATCAATTATGAAGCAGAACTCCTCCAGTGTTAGATTGTTTATATGCCAATAGAAACGTAAACTAGGTTTAAATCATCGCGAGACATTAATAACATAGCATGTCGGACTTTTGTTGTCAAAAGGCTCAACCCTACCTCATCAATTTCCGATACAGCCAATCCCTCCATGGAATGGTAGCTTCCACTATAAGATCAAGATTGCTCTGCTTCCAGCTACATATATGCATACGGTGTGTCTGTGTGTGTGTGTGTGTGTGTGTCTGTAGCAAAGCTCATAAACTAGTGATCTGACCAATGATCTAAAATACATGCCCTTGAGAAATTATAATCACAGTCCAATGTGAAGGGGGGGAAATGTAAATAAAACGAAGATAAATTAAGGTTCATCCAGCACAACATCTTCACTGGAGATGGTAGATTTAACAGAACCGGATGCGATTGAAGCCTCCTTCGGCAAGGAATATGCGACTAAAGCCTTGACAACGTGCCGGAATTTCCTTCTGTAAGTGGGAAATTTTGAGACACTTCTCATCATTCCAATCATCCTACAAATACAATCACCACATCAGAACATGAACATACAGAAACTACTTGCAGTAATTTAATGCTAAGTTCAGTTGCTTCCATCGGCCAGACAATAGATGATATGCTTCCGAACAAGAAAACTGATCGATTCTAATTTTCTACGATATTCAGATGCAGTGTAAGCAATGGTACTTATTCCACAGTTCCAAAATTTGTGTCTGCCACTTACTAAAAGCAAGTTTCATCCTGTCAGTTTAAATCATCGACTAAGTTGATACGTACGAAATAGAGTATTACCCTACATGCACATAAGTTTTGCGCCCTCTATTTGTTAAAGATTGGCGATGTTTGAATTTGTTCATTTTTTTCCTCCATGGAATGTGAATAGTTTGGTTATTTTAGTTGGTTCAAAATGGGATAGAAGAAATTTTGTACCTTCTACTAATGCCTTCGATTTGAGCAGCTCTTAGAGCGTCTTGAGGTAGTAAACTTCCGTTATCCCAAGCCACTACGCGTTGTGGATTATTGGTTCCAAAAAGAACCACTTTCTCCAAATATCTAACCTCACCCTCTGACAATTTTATGACCTTAATCTGTTCCTTCAAGACCATTATCGGATTAAAGAACCAGTCCCACAATTTTTCATGCGGTCTATTTAAGTAGTTAATTTCAACGTCATCAAGCAGCAGTAAACCATCTGAATTCGATCTGATGGAGCAGAGAAGAGTCTGCAAGCATGAATAACATGGCAGACCAACACCGATAATGGATGCTTCGTTGCTGTTCTTTGCTTTCAACCATTCATCGAGGTCAGTTGTGGCTATTACATTATCATCCAACAACTCCTTGCCCCTCAGTTCGCAGGACCTCATCATGTTTTCCCATATCTGTTGCATTTCAAGTAGAATAAACTCTCGTCACGAAACAAAACAAGCGAGAGGGCTAATTAACAGAAATTTCGTAAGAAATTTAATCATCATAGCAATGGAGAACAAATGTTCATGCTTTTAAAACCTAAAACTGAAAAAAAAAAAAAACCCCTCCTTCCCTTACCCCTTCCTCCGCCCGTTCTCCCTTTCCCCTTCCCCCACCACCCCTTGGACATTTTGCTACATCCTTTGAAGAGTAAGTTTCCGGAACTAGCAGAAGCACTAAGCACTCATTGCCTTGTCATTAACTACAACATTACTACTTCGTATCTCCCATAAAGTTGTAGTGCATGGCACAGAAAATTCATCCTAAGGTTGCATAGCTAGTTCGGTGATAAACTTTTCGTGAAAAGGAAATTAAAGCAAAACAAATTCATTTGCAAAAGATACTGAATCAAAGCATTCAGGCTCATAGAAAAACTACCGTGATAACCTAAAGGCATACCTGAACAATTTTCACTTCTTGTATAACGTCTCTAACTGATCTCGAGTTGGCTATACTTGGCATAAGCATTGCAGGTGCTTCCATAGGAGCAGGACTGAGTGTAGCCAGCTGATTTCCTCGAATAGAGAACTCGGGTGATTGAGCGACAGCTCTTTTTCGATATTTGGGCCTGGCTGCGCATAATGAGACCACTACTGGTAAAGATTTACAAGAGAAAAATAACAAAATCTAGCTGCAGTAATACTTAATGAGCTCAAAGAACAATATTTCATAAGCAGGAAAGTCATCAACTTTGGAAAGATTGTTCCCTCTCGAAGATACAGCCAGTCATTCGTGTATTCATCAAATTCAGCCACCATTGCAACCACGTACGCCACACCTTTCCTGAAAGATCTTTCCTGCATTCACAAATGGTTAAAAGATGTATAATTTTACTTATCATGAAAGGCCAAGGAAATTAATATGATTATAGTCGGGTGTAAGCAAACCTGATATACTACAACTGATGCATACAATCCGATTAAAATGCTTGAGAAAACTGCCAATACAATACTTGCAACAACCACAATTGGCCACAGAAGGATTGTCAAACCAGCAATAGGGATGCATGCTAGTTCAAGAAATGGACCTTCTCGAGTAATCAGATCATGAATCAGTCGATACCAGCCCTTAAGCAGCATATAGGGACTCTTTACAACTGCAATTGCAGTGTAAACAGGAATCTCCACGATTAGCCCCAACACACCAACCATAATACATGCTGGAATGTGAATCAACCTACAATATGTTCCCGAAAAAAGAATTGAGTTCAGATTAAAACAGCTGTTTTACGCAATGCTATTTCAAATGTTTATATTTGGCTATTGCTACATAATTTGATCACAGAAGCAAAACAAATCGAGTCACTAACTACAACACAATTACCTTAGAGTTCGATTCAAATGTTTATATTTAGTTTTTGCTACATAATTTGATGACAGAAGCAAAACAATTCAAGTCACTAACTACAACATGATTACCTTATGGTTTGATTAAAATGTTTATACTTGGCTTTTGATATTAATTTGATGACAAAAGCAACATAATTCTGAGTAACTAATTACAACACGATTACCTAAGAGTGCGAACTTCCTCTGCAGCGGGTGATTCGTGCAACTCCTTCAAGTAAAGTGGGTACGAGTGGTAACACAGGTCTGCAAAGTCTCTAACTACAGTACAGCTTCCTTTAACAGTCCCCCAAGTTCCATCCTAACAAATAACGAAGTTGCATGAGTGAAACACAACGAGCAGAGCTAAATTTGACAATAAACCAAACAGAAAAATTGAAGAAAAGTAAAGAGACCGAATTCAAAAGTTTTACCAGAATACAATGTTTGAATTTCTTGTACCGGTTGTCATGCCTAAAGGCCTCAAAAGTAGAAACCCAGGGAGTGAGGAATCCATATCCCACACCCAACAGAACACTCCCAGCTATGCTCAAACCCAGCCATATACCCAGCAGGCCAGGCAAGGCAAACAAAATTGCAATTTTAAGTGGTACATCAAATCTGTGAATCCTGCAATTTCCCAACATTTATGGGAAAAAAAAGAGAGTATTAAATCTCTGAAAAATTAAGAGTTTTACTAAAAATTTTGAAAAGAGGTAGTTTCAAAGATACTAACTTTATGAGAGTGTAGATTGTCCAGACAACATGTGCAGGAGATAAACCTAAAATTATTCCCACATTCCCTAAAATCAGTATTAGTGCAGAAATGGGTCCGACCAGAAGACCTGCAACATATATGATCAAAATCCCAAAAACCAACCATCAAAATTTTCAGTAAATTCAGCAGAAAACATGCAAAATCTGTGTGTCTATATATATATATATATATATATATATATATATATATATATATATATATATGTATATAGGTGTATATATATATATATATACACATACACACACACATATCCTCAATAGCGAAAGGTGGTACCTTTAAGAGCACCAAGGCAGAGAGCAGAGCCGAAAGCAAAAACCAGAGAGAAAATTTTGACGCAGCGTCTGAAAGATTGTGGGGAATCCGCGCCAAAAAAGGTCCATAGATTCAGGAACATCGGCATTGGAGAGATAGTCAACCCAAATTCGGACAACCCTTTTGAGGTTTTGTTATGAATTTATGCCCCAGATGAAAGCTTTTGAATTTGAAGCTTTCCATGAAGAAAGAAAGGCACAATTATTATCAGATATTCGTCAGAAAATATTGTATTATATGAACAGTTTACGTGTCCACAGAGAGAGAGAGAGAGAGAGAGAGGAGAGAGACTTGTGCTGCAAAGACGACAGAGAATGAGAACAAAGAGTACAATAAAAGCCGATAGCCAACCAAATCCATTCAACCCAGGAAGTTTGGAACCAAAGGGGAACTATATATTCAAACTAAAAGATGAATATTCATTGGAGACGTAGAGTTGCGGAACCAACTAGTTTTTGGTTTTCTTTGTTTACTAGCAAATTCTTTCCTGTGACGAATGACCATACATATTGCACTCGAGATTCTGAGTACGTTTCTCTCTCTCAACGTCTCTAAGTATGGGATCTAGATTGTCCACTCCTCTCTATCTCATACCCTTCTTATTCCCTTCTATTTTTGTGATTACGGTTAAGCCACGTTAATATAAAATGTTAACGTGGCTTAACTGTGATCACAAAAATAAAGGGAAATGGGAAAGGTATTTTCTGTTCGGCAAGTATTTGACGTGACATGGACAACTGACACCATGGTCTCATGCTATTTGTTTGGTACTTTAGTTTTGAATCCAACGGCTGTTTTTTCAGGTTGCATGATGTTATGGTGCACCAAGTTGGATTACAAAAAATACATCATTCTTTATGTCACGCCAAAGATAAATCGAGTTTAATTTTTTTTGGTTGACTGTATATATTATTAGGATTTAATATGGCGTGTTGAAATTTTATTTTTTTAATTCAACCCTTTGACATAATTATGTTGTACTTTATTCCATATTTTATACATGAACAAGCACAAAGCAAAAATCCATTTGATTTTGTTTTTCAATATTTTGGGTTTTTGATATAATATGTATTTAGAAAAAGAGTAAATTCTAATAATAATCCCTTAATTTTAACTCAGTTGGAGCAATGATTCTTCAACTAAAAAATCATTAGTCCTTCAATTTATCAAAACGTATAGCTATGATCCCTCAACTAAAAATTCATTATCATTAATCCCTTAACTTTAATTCAACTAGAGAAATGGTCCCTCAACTTTAACACAATTGGAGCAATCATCCCTCAACTTTAACACAATTATAGCAATTATCCTTCTAATATAACTCATTTTGACAAAATTCTGACGAAATTGAAGAAAATGACCATAGCTACATATTTTGATGAGTTGAGGTACCCTCAATGGTTCTTCCAACATAACTTATTTTTACAAAATTTTAACGAAGTTGAAGAAAATGATCATAGTTACACATTTTGATGAGTTAAGTGACCAATGATAATGAATTTTTAATTGAAAGATCATTGCTACAATTTACTCTTGGTAAAATAAAAATTCAACATAAATTTGATGTTGTCATTGCACTTTATACTATAATATATGTTATGGTGAACTTTTAAAAAGGGAATTTTTTATAAGAAAATAAAACAACGTTGTTATGACATGTTTTACAATATGGAATACGGTCCAACGACCTAAATCAATTGTGTTTTCGTGAGATCATCCTTACAAAGTTACACGCTGCCAACGGAAGTACAAAAAACAAAGCGAGTAGTATTTGATTGTGATTGATTATGACTATTGGTGTTAACTAGAAGGAAAGGGATATTTTCGGATCTATTATACCAAATTCATTCAATCACCTAATTCAGATTATTGAAATTTAATCTAACAATTAAAGTAACTATAACTTTTAAAGGAGTCCCCTATTTGTAGCCTGTTGATGCACAAAATCAGTAAGGATTTTGGTACAACAGAAAGTGTTAAGTTTATGACCTTTGCTAGATTGCTCCGATCACTAATGTGGATAAGTATGTAAATGGATAGAGACAGGGAAGCAAACATAAGATGTACGTGGTTCACCCAGATTAACTACGTCCACGAAGTAGAGAATTTCTCATTAATTGTGAAGGGTTTACACAAATATATAGGTTCAAGCTCTCAGTACTAGTGAATGATTTAGTACAAATGACATTCGAAAATATTATAAGAGAATGATCTCTATTTATAGAAGAGAGTTTCTAGTTTCATTCTGACATTGACACGTGTCGTGTTGTGATTGGCTTCTGATGTTGACACGTGTCGCGCTATGATTGGCTTCTAATGTCGACACGTGTCGCGCTGTGATTAGCCTCCTAGTTTGAGGGAAACTCTTTTATGTCCTTGACGGTATAACGTTGACCGGTGCTCAGTAGTTTCGGGATTGGTCAAGTATGGTACAAACAGTGTTTCCCTAAGTTCCTAAGTAAGGGAAGCTCCTCGGTTGGGGACTTGCAAGATCCAAGTTATTAAGTAATCACGAAACTTCTAAATACCGAAGTATAGTATCATTTTCACTTGCCTTATATGTCTCATATGTAGATGTGGCATCTTCTCTGGAAGTACTTTTTCTCCATCCAGAGGTGGTATCTTTAACTGATGAAGATGCATAAGGCAATGTATCAATTTCACTTGAAGCTTACTTGTAGTTTCGGACTTGGTCAAGTGTGAAATAAACCCTATAGTAGGAGTCCCCCAAGTCCCCGAGTTAGGAGATTTTCCAAATGAGGTAACGACAAGGTAAGCAATCAGACTTCCAAGCAAGCAACCTGGATCGGAGGTTCGAATTCAGACTCCGGTTAATTGTTCTCCTTCTTCTGGTGTCGTAAACAACAACAAGGATAAGGAGAAGCAAATGGAGAAGAGATGATATGAGATACTTTTTCTTTTCTTTTGAAGAAGTAACTTTCCACAGGCTTATTCTTGAACTGGGCTGGAAGGTTTTCTGGTTTCCTCCAGAGTATAAGGCCGACTGAAGAATTTGAGGGTCAAAACAAGTCCATTAAATCTAGAGTACGTTCGACCCTGATGATATGGGATACTTTTTCTGTTGACAAAGTAGTGGATGTATCAGCACGTGTTCTATTACGCTTGTCTCCACATGCTTCCTTGTATCCTTCTCACTTGCCCTATCTGTTCCTCAGGCAGATGTGGTATCTTCTTTGGAAGCATAAGATGTTGAAGATGAGTACTCGAGAGCAATGTCAGGTAATTAATCAGGCAAGGGGTTCCAGACAGTTAGTTCCTGACTGGAAGCTTGATTCCAAGTGTTGACTGATTGCTCTCTTTCTCCTTGTCTTGCAAGTAAGAATAAGGTCAAATGAAAAGACAGGAAAAAAGCATGATATGGGATACTCTTACTTTTAACCCTGATGATATGAGATACTCTTGCTCTGGTGTGGCTTGTTTGCATAGGTATTATTGGGAGGAAAAGAAACTGAGTATTTCGAGAAACTCTGCTAAGAGTGCCCTCTCGGATGTGAAAAATAGTTAAGCATTTTTTTTTATTTGCAATTTTGCCTGGCTGTGGAGGATGGAAGTCGACATATATAGGAGTATCCCTAACAATAAGTAGTAGTGCTATTCCTTTACCCTTTTTTGTTATAGCAATGTAGTGGGAGCTATAAGCTTCACGTGTTTTAACTTTGTCAGAGCACTTTGAAAAAGTGGTATGTGGTATCTGGAAAGCTAATGTTGCGTGTGAAGATTGCAGACAAACTTTATCCGAGGAAATCTGGCTCTCGAAGTTCGGAGAGCGGTGCCTTTTCGATTTTCGGGGATCTGGCTCTCGAGATTCAGAGAACGGTGCTTCTTCGATTTTTGAGAAAGCAATCATGTTAGAAGTCTGACTCTTGAGATTCGGAAAGCAGTGTCTCTTCGATTTTTGAGAAAGTAATCATGTTGAGAGTCTGGCTCTCAAGATTCAGGGAGCGGTGCCTCTTCGATTTTTGAGAAAACAATCCTGTTGGGAGTCTGACTCTTGAGATTCGGTGAGCAGTGTCTCTTCGATTTTTGAAAAAGTAATCCTGTTGGGAGTCTAGCTCTCGAGATTCGGAGGACGGTGCCTCTTCGATTTTTTAGCAAGCAATCTTGTTGGGAGTGTTTTCTCGAATGTGAGTAAAGGTTGGGCATTTTTGTCAGTCTACCTTGCCACGGAGCACGAACGTTGACACACATTGGGACTTTCTAGTTATCAAGTAGTGGTGTTGTTCCTTTACCCTTGTGGGTAATAGTAGAGTAGCTGGACCTTTAAAATTTATGTGTCTAAACTTTGTTAGAGATCTTTGGCAAAGTTATCTGTAGTACCCGAAGAGTTGATATCGTGTGGAAAGCGGTGCCTCTTCGGAATCCGGAGAGTAGTGCCTCTTCAATTTTTGAACCAATGGCCCTGTTGCCCTTTCTTTTATAAGGGCACCAATTGTGTGCAAGAAGTACATTCAGAGAGTTATTGCTTGTAGGAATTTTCCCCTTACTTCAGAGATTTACTGCACCTCATTTCTCCTTCATCATTTCTGAGAATGTCTGGAGCATCCGACCATCGTTTTTACTTGAACTTTGGTGAAGAGGCAACCATGCCTTCTCAAGACAACATATGGCGCCCATTATTCTTATCCCCTACTGGTGATGAAGAATGATATGACCGCTGCGGTGGTGGCCAGAAACCTTCTCACTTCCAAAGATAACAGACTACTTTCCAAACAGTCTGATGAGTTGGTTATTAAAGATTATCTCGCTCTCAATGTTCAGTGTGTAGGTTCTGTGTCTAATATGGCCCAATGCCTATTTGCTCGAACCCGCCAAGTTGAATCATTGGCGGCTGAAGTGATAAGTCTCAAACAGGAGATCAGATGGCTCAAGCATGAGAATAAACAGTTGCACAGGCTTGCACATGACTATGCTACAAACATGAAGATGAAGCTCGACTAGTTGCAGGAATCTGATGGTTAGATTTTACTTGATCATCAGATTTGTTTATTTTGATTCATGTATATGTACATATTTGTAACTTATCGGAGATATCAATAAACAAGCTTTACTTCATTTTAACATATTGTGTTAAATACACCAAGGCCTTCTTCACTAAGTTCTTTAAATTTTTCCTTTTGTTGAAGCTTATATGTTGAAGCTTTGTGAGTGAAGCATGTAGGTTGAGGTAATGCTCCCTTAATTTTTCGAGTGAGGAAAACTTCTCATTTGGAGACTTGAAAAATCCAAGTCACTGAGTGGTCGTGAGACTTCCGAGTATCAATGTGCAGTAGCATATGGTAGGAGTCCCCCAAGTTTCCGGTCGAGGGAGTTAACAAATGAGGCATTTCCTTTCTAAGTGGTAGCCCAAAACTCCTTCTTCATATATA